ATGACAGCTGCTCAGACCCCACAGCACCTGAGCCAATGACATGCACCCTGTGGACAAGCAATCATTATTGCTTACGGTGAAAAAGATGATTTTTTTTTTTCCTCTGGCAGGAAAGGATGTTCTGGGTCAAAACGTAAAACCAAGAGTTGTGCCAGAGGTGATGAGAAAAGTATAGAAGTTGGATGAAGATCAAAGGAAGGAATTCGATTAGGAGCCTAATGATGAAGCTGGCAAAACACTGTCACAAGTAATCGTGTTTTACCTTGCCACATAAAAATATTGGATTAGTGGACAAATGAAAGCTCTCTCTCTTTCTGGGTTTCTGCAGGGTGTAAGCAATTAGGCTGTTTTCTAGAGAAGGCAGGAAACTTGATTAACAGAGCCAAAACAGCGGAGGGAAGATGGTTTAAACACCAGGAAATGAAACACCAACTGTTATGCAAATGGACTTTTCCCAAAATGTTGATCATTTCAATCACGAATTGAACCCCCCCCCCACCCAATTGTTCTAAACTGTCAGCTGCCCATGTTCTCAGGCCTTCAACTAGTCATTCGATGAGCCGAGAGAGCTTCTTGTAAGTCAGCAGTTCTCAACCTTCCTAATGCCGCGACCCCATACAGTTCCTCATATTGTGATGACCCCCCAGCCATAAAACTATTTTTATTGCTACTTCATCACTGTCATTTTGCTACTGTTATGAATCAGGTGACCCCTGTGAAAGGGTTGTTCGACCCCCAAAGGGGTGGCGACCCACAGGTGGAGAAGTGCTGTTCTAAGTCAATGCTACTGATGTGTGCATTCAGCCACTTCTCCTGAACTGCGACAGAAACCTCAACCATGAAGTAGGTGTTTGCTTCTGCACTGACCAAATTGTCAAGTACTTCGAGATCCCAAATGGGTAAGAAGCCCTAGTGGAACCGTGGCTAATGTGCTCGGCTACCAATCAAAATCTGTGATTCAGATCCACCAGTCGCTCCAGGGGAGGAGGCTGTGGCAGGCTGCTTTGGTAGAGATTCACCATTTACAGAACTCGATGGGCAGGTCTACTGTGTTCTACAGGGTTTCTATGAGGCAGAATCAACTGAAGGCAGGGAGTTTGGCTTGCTGTTTTTAGCTAAGGGTGGCTTGAGGGACCTGCTGAAGAGTCCAGAGGACCCAAACCAGCCGTACTCAGTGCTACTGAGTCGATTCTGGCTTACAGTGATTCTATTGTGCAGAACAGATCTGGAACCCGTGGAGCTTTGAGGCTGTAAATCACTGTGGAAGCAGAAAGTCTCGTCTTTCTCCCACAGAGTAGCTGGTGGAATCTAATCGCTAACTTTGAGGTTAGCAGCCCAGAAGGTAACTCACTGCAGGACACCGGCCCTGCGATGTTTGTGTGTTAACCAGATTTGAGTAGTGCAGTCAGCCTCATTTCGAATCGCAACTCCAAGAAGCTGCTATAAGTAGCCAAAGAAGAAAATAAATGTGTGCATTTCTCCCCACAAATGAGGCATTTTGCCAATTCCAGTGGCGCTAAGCCAGGAGGCCAATAAAAACCATCATGACTATACTTAACACTCGAATTGGTACTTAACTGTGTTTGAGATTGTCTAGGCCCTAAACTCTATATGGAATATTTAAGTTGATCTGCTATCAAGTGTCTTTCATTGAACAAATCAAGCACACAGAACACGAGCCAGATCGAAGAAGATCCTGCTCCTTGAAAGGTTTTGAGAAGAATGACTGTCGGCTAGCATATAGCGACTAGACTCTCTTCCATGTGGCATTAACACTCTGTGCCCCAAGGAATGTCACCAGCACAGATCACATGGTTTGAGGATTTGCCAGGGGCAGTTCTTAAGCATTTGCATAAGCTCTTTTGAATATAGACAAGCAATAACAAATAAACAAAATGAGTTAGCATGGTCACTTTTTAGCTCCTTATAGTAGAGGTCGGCTGGCCTTTTCTTTAATGAACCAGTAGTGACTATTTTCAGCTGTGCACCCTAGGCGTGTCTCACAATCACCCTGCTCTGCTGTTGGAGCACAGAAGCAGCCATGGGCAATACTCACATGGGTCACGATGGCTGTGACCATGTTCCGATAAAAAGTGATTTATGAAAATAGTCATTGGACTCTGGCCTACGGGCTATACTTTGCATCACAGCCTCATCTTTCTGCTTCATGTCTTTTCACTCATCCTGTCACAAGGTCGCAGCACTCAAAATACCGCAAAGCGGTGGCTAAAGATCAAGCAGGATACGGAGAGATGACAGTGGGCAGGGAGCAGGGAGACTCAGCATGGGACTCAGTTACAAATCTGTGCTAACACATTAATGAAATATAGACCCGGCAACACCATGTAGACAATTCATTCCACACTCTACTGCCTGTATGATCTTTCCAAAATGCAGATTGGTTCATGGAATTTCCTGACTTAAAATGTGTCACCTATAGCTTGCAGTGCTGGCTGTCTCTGTAGCTTGTCGTCAGTCTTGCCCAAGCAAGGACCAGCTCCATCTTCTCTTGCCATGCCTTTACTGACCACGCGCTAGCCACATGCAAGAACTTGTAAGCTCCAGAAGGCAACCTGCTCTCTTGTTTCCAATCTGTGCTCGTGCTACTCATTTTCCCTGCACTGTCTTCTGAACATCTCTGTCCTGGCTGACCCCTGAAGGACTGCGTTTAGGTGCTGGCTTTCCACACTGTGCTTCCAAGCCCCCCAAGGTCCATATTATGATATTCTCACCATCAGCTGTTGATGAGGATTTGCTCCTCTCTGAGGCAACACAAACGGTTAAATGTTCGACCACCAACAGAGAGGCTGGAGGTTTGAACCCACGCAGAGGGATTTCAGAAGACAGATCTGGTGATCTGCTCCTGAAGGCTTAGAGTCTGGAAAATTCTATGGAGCAGTTCTATTCTGCATACACAGAATCCCTATGAGTTGGAATGAACTCAACTACAAACAACAAGAAGGAAAAGCAGTCCTCGACATTAGAGGTAAAACTTTGGAGCACTCCCACTCCATTTTCTTAAAGCACGGGGTCTAGTACATAGAGGGCAATTAGTGAATGGCTATTAAATGGAAGAATGAATTATTAATTAATTAAATGAGCTTTGGGAATCTCCATTTCAGACTATGATTTCAGTTCCCAACTGTGAATATGTTATTTTCTTTTGCATATTAGCTATAAATGATACTCAAACAATTAATAGATTTAAGTGTAGCAGGGAGCAGGGATGACTACATTTGGTTACAAAATATCATATAAAGTGAAAAGGCTTTTTAACTCGTTATTTTTGTTTTCATATTCAAATTAGTAATATTGCTTTTCATTGTTTATATTATATTATATTATATTGCATTATATTATATATTATATTATATTAGTAGATATAATCTTTCTAAAAACATTTAATAGTGGTTTAGGTGAGAGTTTACAAAGCAAATTAGTTTCCTATCCAACAATGTATTAATAGATCATATCATGATATAGTTACAATCCCTTCAGTGTTGTGACACTAGATTTAAGCTCTTTCACTGTCTATCCACAAATCCATTCCCTCCAACCCAGAGAACCAGGGTCCTTGGACTTAGAATGCGCATGTGTTAGGCCAGGCTACTAGAGAAACAATTTCAATAATACTCATATATGTATAAGAAAGAGCTTTATATCAAGACCAGTCCAACTCAAGTCCACAAGTCCAACACTAATCCAAAAGTCCTTTTTCAGACTCAAGCAGATGCAGGATGCAGGAACATCACAGGCCAGTGGTTGCAAAGTTGTGTGGATCCAATAACAGGGAAACATCTCAGGGCTCTGGAAGATCTCAGAGTGGTCCTCCAGCAGGAAGATGAAGGGCAAGAGAGAAAGAGAGGTTCCCAGGGTCCTTTTTATGAGAAGCCCACAGCCTCAAGGAGGCCCCATCTGGCCCTGACCTCAAAGAGGCCCCGTCTGGCCCTGAGCTGATTGACAGGTTGAATACCACCCCTACACTTTTACATGTCTTCAAGTGGACACGAAATCATCTAACTACCAAAGTGAAAGTAAACTTCTTCAAAAATCAAAGACAACTTAATGTGGGTTCTGTCCTCAAGGTGTGTACAGCAACATGTGAGAGAAAATACATCTAAAAATGGAACTCTGGTTGAGACAGGTAGTGGCTTTAGAGGGGTCTTGATATAGCTCATGGAATGTCAATGGAAGGGCTTACTTCAGCTCAAGGTTAAAATGCTTGCACAGAGGAGCACAGGAACATGCCTGGAACAAAACAGAACCAGAGCTGCAGACAAGGGCAGTGTTGGGTGACTGGAGTAGAGAAGAGATCATAAAGTTCCCATGGGAATGGTTAGATCAGTGGTTCTCAACCTGTAGGTCACCATTCCTTTGGGGGTTGAATGACCCTTTCACAGGGGTCACCTGATTCATAACAGTAGCAAAATTGCAGTTATGAAGTAGCAACAAAAATAATTTTATGGCTGGGGGTCACCACAACATGTAAAAGGTCATGGCATTAGGAAGGTTGAGAACCACTGGGTTAAATGAAGCTGTGTTCGTCCGAGTTGACTAGAGAAACATATCCAGAGCCACTCATATATGTGTAAGAGAGAACTTTATATCAAGAAGTAATTGTGCATCAATAAAACACTCCAACCCAGTCCAGATCAAGTCCATAATTCTGATATTAGCCCATATGTCTGATACTAGTCTATAAATTCCTCTTTAGACTCACGCAGCACATGCAAAGATGTAGAGTACAGGAAGATCACAGGCCAGTGGGTGGAAAGTCCTGTGGATCCAATGGCAGTGGACACATCTCCAGCATGGTTCCATGTGGCTTGTCAACAGGAATATGTAGCAGAGAGAGAGTGGCCCGCTTCTTCTGATGGCAGAATCAAGAGAGAGGAAGTCCCAGAATCCTCATGAGAAGGCCATGCGCACAAGGAGGGATCATCAGGCTGGGACCTGATTGACAGGCTAGATTCCACCCCTTCATTCTTCTATCAAGTTTGACATGAAATCTTGCAACTATCACAGAAGCATAGGACACATGAAGAGATGGAGGTGAGGATGAGAGTAGAGAGGTCATAGAAGACCCTGGCCCAGCCTGGGAGAGTTTATTCTCTAGTTAGGGGCATTGATATGAGGAATAGTTGAGAATTATACCTGAATCAAATAGCTGAGAGTTATACCTGAGTCAAATGGCAGCAGAGGTTGCTACAGACCACTGAAGAGAAATGAATATTTATGGGGCCAAGTTCATTTGAGATAAAATGAGTACTGACTTGAGAGAGGAGCTAGGGGTATGGAGAGAAGAATCAGGTAGAGGAGTCATTTCAGGGATAGAATCTATAAGAAGAATACAGAGTAAAGAGAACTTTTCTTTTAACACACACCCTCAAGCTGGATAAGCTGAGATGGTTAGGATGTGCAACTGGACACTCACTGCCATCATCTACATTGTGACACAAAGCCAACCCATAGGGCAGAGTAGAACTGTCCCTGTGGGTTTCTGAGATGGTAACTTTCTGCGGGAGTAGAAAGCCTCGTCTTTCTCCTGTGCAGCAGCTGGTGGTTTTGAGCTAGTGACCTTGTGGTTAGTAGGCCAACGAGTATCCATTACATTGCCAAGGTTCCTCCAGCGGAACACTGGAAAGGAAAATTATAGCAACTACAGACCTCCGCAGGAAAAATTAGAGGGCATTCCTCCATAAGGACTTCTTCAGCTCAAAGGAGCTGGGGGCAATACCAGCAGGATGAAAGCTAAACACAGAATTTCCAAATAAGCGAGTAAGATAATCTAGGAGGTCTTCTGTTCTTTTGTGTGTGTGTGTGTGTGTGTTGTCTAATGGGTTTTGAGTTCAAGGATTATGAGACCTCTTCTTTTATCCTTTAAAAGAGATGTTTTCATTGTGAATTGAGTGAAAGTTTACAAAGTAGATCTTTCAGTAGAGATAACCTTAGGCATACTAGTTATAATACCCATTAGGATTAATAAAGTCACTTTGCCTTTACCCTATAACTAGGAATATTTTCTCAACTGTTGGACATAGAGCAACTGATTTTATATAAAGAACAATTAAAGTATACAAAGAAAAACTTGAGTTCAATGGGAAATGATGCATGACCTACCTACAGTATATCTTTCTCGGTGATCACATCAGGAAAAATACTTAACCTTCCCTGGCTTGAATTTGTATGAATAAGATGTCGTTCCAAAGTTGAAGACTGTAGCGTGTGGAGTTCTCTGCAATTGTTCCCTAGGTCATTTTCTCGGCATGCAGGGGAGAGATTCAGGAGTGACAGGCTCTTCCTGGTGCCGAGGTTACATTTGACTCAAAATCGAGTTTTAGTCTTAGACCTTGACATAGCCACCATCTCATATCGGCAGTCCTAAATTAATTTGGGATACTTCCATTTGCAATTAAATGTCCCACATAAATATGAGCCTTTTGAGTTTTCCTTTGAGTCAATCACATCTATCTAGTTCCTCAGCAAATTAATAAAGTAAAATCATTAGCACATGTTCACACTTAGAGTTGCATGAGAGGCATAGATCTACCTTTTTCCCCCTAAAAATTATCTTTTAATAATAAGTTTCAAGGTAAGGTGAAGGTGAAATCAGATAAGAGACTCACAAAAGTGCCCAGCTGTGGGACCCATTTCATTTGCATTGTTTGCAGGTGATGAAACAAAGGAATAGGGAGATTGAATTGGCCAAAGTGCGTGAACCGAAGCATGTAGTAGGGGGAAAGGCCCTGGGGTATGAATAAGTAATCTCATTCTCTCACTCACTGCCTTAGAGCCCATTACAACTCATAGAGGCCCTATAGGCCCTTGTAGAACTGCTCCCGGTGGGTTTCTGAGATTATAACTCATTACAGGAGTTGAGCGCCTCATCTTTCTCTCTCAGAGCGGCTGGTGGTTTTGAACTGGCTGACTTGTGGATAACTGCCCAATGTATAACCATTATGCCACCAGGACTCCTTACAATGGTGTATAGAAAAAGAACTACAAGTGAACATGAAATATTCCGCGGGGAGATGCTCAATCAGACCACCATTGTCACTGTCGGCCACGGAGATGAGTCTG